GCCAGATCTAATTATGAATTCAGTTCCTCATTTATTGCTTTATGAATATGCATATATACGAGATGTGTGCTTAAAATACTGTGTCTAAAGCCGTTGGATTATGATACAAGCCGGCCTCTCGTGGACTGAGTATCAAACTCTCTAATTATCAAGAAGTCGATCTTCACTGGCGAAAAATTAATTGCTACATTTTAACAAATTATAATAAAGAAAGGAATTATTATTGGACATTTTTCAAGTAAGTCAATTTTAATCTTTATTGTTCTTGACGAATTTAGAATTTTATTTTTCACTTGCTCGGACGCGTTGCGGAGTAGCGCGCAACGGAGTATATAGTTAATGCCATAAGGGTTTAAATGTTAGAAATATATTATGTAAGATAAAATTTTACACAATCAATTTTACATCAGCGTCTTATACTGGTGTCGAGTTAACAAATAGAAAATACTACATCTGTGTATACTGTTGTGAATGCATGCAAATTAGGATTGTCAGAGCAAACACATTTTACCTCTGAGATCATGTGTTTGACTCTGACTGCGCTCCCAATGATACTTATTCTGAAAATTCAGCCGCTTTATAGCGAGAAAGTCGTTGATTTTCTACAGGTACTCCGGATTCCTCCCACAGGCAATGTTGACAGGATGCGTTGAGATTAGCCTTATCTTACCTCACATTATATAATAATGTTCAACATACACAAACTTACTTACTAGTCGTGGGGAATTTAAATGGTGAACTGTCGTTTTTATATAAGTTATACAGTATATTGTAATGATATAGAATACTAAACAGATACTATGGCCTATAATCGGCTGACTTGAAAGCGTAGTGCCATATGGTTTTATAGTTGTGAATGAGATAATCCTCGGACGTGAATGGGTTAACCTATAGTTAGAGTTAGGGTATGTGCATATCTATGATCCCGATTAACTGGTTCTGAAATAATTCCAAATATAGAACAAAGAGCCACGTGAACTTGAAAGCTGCTAATGTTTTTAAATATTGTGACCGCGCTCTCATATTACAGATCTCAGTTGCACGCAAGATATGAGGTGGCTGATTTTAAGAAATATTTAGTCATCAGGGATTGTATAAATTTCCGTGTTTTAAAATATACTTTCTCACAGTGGGATTCATATTCAGGTATTTTTGGATATATGATTGTTGGTCATGCACGTATGTTCTCCATAAGAAATAAACTACATGATCATATTGGAATTTCTACTAAGATAGATAATAATATTGCTGTTTCTCAAGTGTTTTCTTGGTAAATGAAAAATAATAACTTTTAACTAAGCGTGATGTTTGTGGTTGCATCATTGCATGGATATTAACACCGCCAATGCGTCAGTAATTGAGCTATAATTCAAGTACGTTTAGGCGCAACTTTTGTTATTGGAAAACTATATATAATTTTCAAAGCTAACCAGGAACAGCTGGGAAACATGCAGCTATAGGTCCTCTCATAGGGAACGAACGCGCAGTCCAACGATTCTGCAGAGTACAAATATGGCAGATAATTCTTTTGAGATAAAAAGTTTGGACTCTTTAGTATTAATTTGAAGATAAAATATTACCAAGATTAGCATTCATATATAGTTAAAATACTCATTAAAAGTTCATAAACCTCGTGGCAAGTCATGTCAGCCATAATATGTCACATGAAGTGACTTTATATCGGATCATCTTCATTTGTATTCTTTATATAATTGTTCATCCTAATTAGTATGACTATATAATTGTTCATCCTACTTAGTATTCTCTTGTAGTCGTATTTTAAGCTATTCAAAACACTCGTTGTCGTGTTTTATCAGATATAAAACGCTCGGTTGCGCCTCGCGTTTTATATCTGATAACACACTCCTATTCGTGTTTCATATAGTACTTATAGTCAGTATATGGAAAGTGTAAGTATCAGGCAGATATAGCGTTTGCGAGATAAAGTTCAAGCTTTGTAGTTTTAAAAATAAGTAATCTAGTCGAAACGACTATAATCTAGTCGAAACGTCGATTCTAAAAATCAAAATGTTGTTCAGAGTTACTCTTCCTTTGTATTTTATCAAAATATTGAGTGGTTGCCGTTATTATAACATTTGGTATTTTATGACTATTCTATTATTCTCCAATTTCCTATAATTAAGATTGGGAATATATTGTGTTGGAAAGATGTGAGATTTTATACACGTGCAGCGTTGAGGTGATCAAGTCACTACATGCCAAATTCGTGCTTCACGCGTCAGTAGTCGCCCGCTTGATCAAAAACCAATTCCTAGTTGATCTTTTTGAATTTTAATATCAATTTGTAGCAAGTCATGCATGCAAACGTTTGTCTCAGATCCAATGTCTTTAAAATATAACATATCCTCATTATTTTAATATCAATGTGGCAAATCATGCAAACGTTTGTCTCAAATCGAATCTCTTCAAGTAAAATATAACATATCCTCATTATTTTAAATATTTTGTGGCACGACAGGACAGCTTGTATGTATCGAGTTCTTGTCGTGGATCGTGTTTGTACACCTGGGCCAGGTCAATTTAGTTTCTAAGGGAGCCGTAGCTAGGTTCGTTGATCCGAGAATTGTGATGTTGAATAAAACAGAATTTTTTACCAAAGTCAACATTATCGAAACTAATGTTTAAACAGTCCCAACAACGTTGCATCCAACGAACCGAGGATGATGTTGGACCAACAATGTTGGAACACGTTTGATAAAATACCTGGCCAAACGTTTGATAAAATACCTGGCCTGATCCAGTATCTTTCAACATCAGGCAATAGTTTGCAAAGTGGGCCTGTTCGTTCTAGAATCTTTAAATTAAGTAAAATATAATATATATTGTGTTCAATGACAGTTTCAAGATGTCACATCACGATTTGGGCAAAATTCGTGACTTTTCAATTTCAAGATGGATCCATCTGTTGGACAGACTGAACGACAAAAGTCACGAAAGGCCACAAAAGAGGGAGAGGGTATATATTCTTGTCAAATAGCATTTCCATTGATGTCTTTTCTATTCAACATAATTTTAAAATAGTTTATTTATTTGAAAACTAATATTATATTGTTTTAAAACAACTTTGTAAATCTTAGCAATCCTCTTTAGCAAAATGTTTCTTCTTTTTGTCAGAACTTTCCAAAATAAATGACATGCAGTGAAGGAGAGACTCGATAATTCTCAAAACAATTTAAATGGAAAAAGAACCTTTAATTCTAGTATCATTGTACAAGAGTTTCCACAAAATAACCTTTCAATTCTGTACGAAGCAAATGTTCATTGCGGACCTACACTATACGTCCTAATTGAAAGGACGCATCCGTCCCCTTGCCCTTTGGCAAATGAAACAAACCCTAATTCTTCCCGCAGTTCCGACGTACAGGAGCTGTTTGACGCATACAAAATTTGTAGGGCATCAATAACTTAGAAAAAAAAAGCTTTAATATTTCATACCGAAATTTTCAACCGAAACAAAATGCCAAGTAAACAATATAATTTTTTGATCAGAACTAAATACTGTTAAGTGCAAAGATTAAAGGCGTGCTTTTAGCCAGCTGTAATTATGAATTCAGTTCCTCATTAATAATAATATGCATATATACGGATGTGTTTTTAAGGTACTGAGTCTAAACGACTAAAGCCGGTTACAGACGAGCAAGTTTTCTATGACAAGTTTTTATGTGACAAGTTTGTTTATTTGTGTGAACGTGTCAACAAGTTTACTTTGACAATTTATTAGTAGCGCCATATAATAGTACAGCGAACAACGCGAACGAACTGGTGTCGCACCGGATAGTGTCTCCCGCAGAAAGTGTCCCCCAGACACTATCCGCTAGCGGATTGTGTCCCCTCTAGCGAATACTGCCCCCCAAGAAACTACTGATATAAGGTTTAGCTTCTGGGTTTTATTGGTAGAAATTATTCTACATATTAGCAAATCAAGTTTTGCTATCAACTTCGACGCTCTTGAAATCGAAGTTCCTTCTGTTCAACGACAAAGCGGTGGTATAGACTAGCTGCGGACTTTTCGATATTGCGTTTGCGTATGAGTTAGCGTCAAGAAATGAGCATACCGTAAAAGCAAACGGTTCGAACAACATCGCATGCGAGATCATTTGATCAGATGCCTCGGGAATGGCGAGTTCGAGCCTTTCCCAGGACAGATTAACAGCAAGCGGAAAAGAGAAGATCCAAACATTTTTGAGATCGAATTGTTTTGCAATTGTCTCTTGCCTGAAGTGAGCGACGACATGATTTTGTGCCATTTTATTATAAAATACTGTAATCTTTATATAATTAAATTCTTGTTCTATAGTTTGCTTGCAAAATCTAGTGTAAAGCTTTTTATATATAAATATATTTTTTCTCAAAGATGAGCCTTTGTTTTTGACTTTCGTGTGGAGGATTCTATCCGCGGCAAAATAATTAAAGGGGACACTATCCGCTAGCGGATACTGTCCGGGGGGGGGGGACACTATCCGCGGGGGGACACTATTCGCTGTGACACTGGCTAATCACATCAAGTGCTCAGATTACTTTGACAAGTTTTCTTTGTTGACCCATACAGACGAACAAAATATGAACTTTGACAATTTTTTCTATGACAAGTACGCTTGTTCAAAAGCTAGCAGGCTAGCTCAAGTGCACTTGTCGTAGAAAAATTTTGCACGGGACGCGTTGCGGGGTAGCGTGCAATAGAATATAGTTAATGTTATATAAGTTTAAATGTTAGAAATTTATTAAGATAAAATTTTACACAACGATCCTCAGACGACGATGTATATAATATATACAATATAGACAATATATGCTTAGGTTTAAAAAACTGTATAATTTCCGCTCCATATTTCCATCATCAATATCTCTTCAACATTCAATTCATTGAGCGAAATACCCAAAATCTTTTTCCTTCATAACAATTGAACTTTTAACCTTTACTTCTATTGATTCGAACGGTGGTCACATTCTAACAGATTGGTTACCAAGAGATAAGAAAAATGATTCTTATTGCAACAAAGATCATTGTTGGCATTCATATCTTGATATATTTTGGTACAAGTCTGGTCGTTTGTAATAATGATATCCCGTTTTGTCGCAAGCGGTTGAAAGAACTCAGAGAGGACGAGAAATACTGGAGTGAAAGATGCGTGAATAATAAAGATCAAATCCTTGTTACACCGCGCTGTGAAGCAGAGAAAAAATACAATCACGAGAGGCTCTGTATGTACACGAAGATATGCTTTTATAAAGGTAATATTAAACTGTAGTTTAAGCTACTTTACGAATGAAGTACACTGGGCCTGAATGTTTTCATCACTCTGATGCGTCAAAATAAAGATTAATGTATAGTTCCAGGAAAGAACCTATATTTTCGGTTGTGGAGGACATGTCTTCAATTAAGGTGGCTCCATATATTAATCCACACAAAATTACCGATACAAGAATCGCGATCAAAACATTACGCTATATGAACAAACCCGCGTGACCATGCTTGCACTATAGCTCGTGTCCAAATGAATATTAACCAAAGGACTTACATATATCACCTGACGTGCACTGGAAATTCTTTTCAAAATCCTTAGTATATATACAAATAGTATAGATCTTATATAGCTAAAAATAGTATGGAATCCAATTTTTATACTAATTGCAATTTCCATACTGTGGATATATTATGGAAATAGTATGGATATATTTTGGATTTAGTGATGCAATTGCAAATTTCATATACCCCCCCCCCCCAACTTCAGCTGCTTTGCTACATCCCTGAAGATCAGTAGTATGGATTTCACTAGTTTTTCCAGTGGTGGCGACTTGCCCACACCAGTCGCGCCATTGTATGTGTTTATAACGCATTGTATGTTAATTGCTAACGTCATTAGAAATGCCAAAACAGTGCGCTATATCGCATTGTTTTGCGCGATGACCTAAGTGGACTTCAAAAGTCTTTCAATGTGCAAAAAATTAAAAATAATTCTGTAATGCTAAAACATATTTAACAAGGAAAACGTCCTTTTTGCGTGTTTGGCATTACAGAATTTTTTTTAATAACTGCTATAGTCTATGGTATATAAATAAAATAGTGTACGGAAAAAAATTGGGGTCACCGTGTTTCATGTCCAACTGTTCGAGGCAATTAGGCATTGTAGAGTGAACTTGGCACGCATGGTTACCATAGTAACGAACTATGTGGCACCAAACCTGATATAAATTGAACGAAGAAACATCCTGATATCTGCCTAAAAATACGATCTAATAATACGATCTAAAAATACGTCGTTTAAAACTGTCAACACTAACTTCTCGCCGAAGGATCTTTGCTCCAAACATCGAATTTCTTCTTGTATTTTTCAGGAAGTTGCATCCCTACGAATAACGAAATCTTTGAAATTATTATACACCTCAAAAACTGTATCGCGCCACCTTAAAGCGCATCATGGAAACTGACTATAAAATAATTCCAGTATACAGTCCAAATTCAAGAGAGTATATATTTTGTTTTCAAAATTCCTTTTAAAACATATGGAAATCAATATAGGGTAATAGCTAGGAGCAGCAAAGTAGCGGCCGTTTTCGCAGGCTAATATATATATAGGGTCTGCTCATATAATTAATTTTTCTTTCCAAAATTGATTGTAACTCTTTATGAATTCAGAAATTGCAACAGGTGCTTCCATATAATTTTACATGACAAAAGAAAAATGTCAGAGGATGAATTACATTTTTTTTAATTGTTCCCCAAAGATTTCTAAAATTGATTCTTGCGTTTCCAAATTTTATGTTCTTAATTTTTTTAAACACCGTCTTTGAAAGGTTTCCAAATGTACTCTTGTGTAACTTGACACAGATTCACTCTTAAACAAAATAACCTTTTATACAAAAAAGTAAAATAAAATTAAAACATGTGACTAACAGTTCAATGCAAGGCTTTATACAAATAGTCTGTACTGATGTGTTGCTCTTTCTGCAGGACCCTCTGCTGAACCTTACTTGCTGATCAAATCAAAGTCTGAAATCCACGACATTGATTTAACAACCCTAAACACAACTGTCGTCATCCGCGGACTTACAGGTAGGAAGATGGAAATAGACACCGTGGACAACAACTTATACATCGCAGACAACAACAGCATATCAAGGATAAACTTGGTTGACATGTGCGTAGAAGTCATTTTACAAAATGTGAGTGTTGATGACATGGCAGTTGACTGGATTCAACGTCGTCTGTACTGGGCTGAATATTCAAAAAAGAGGATTTTCGAAGCGAATTTGGATGGAAAAAATAAAACTGTGCTAATAAACACAACGAGTTACCCGTCCAGTATAGCAATGGATGCAACATGGAGGTAAGTTTATTGATTTGAAGAATTTCTTTATGGTGTGCTATATATTTGATGACGAATTATTGCGAGTCATGGCCAAGGGCCGTGAAAATAAGGGGTGGGGGGCACTGGGGGCCTGTAACTCCACTTTTTTGAAACGAGAAAAATTGGCCCTTTCTTCAAACGAAACTGCCTTTTTTTATGTTATAAAATGTACTCTTTTTTATATTATAAAATGTACTCTATTTTAGATAAATATGTTGGACAAAGATAGCTAGTTATTTGGAAGCGTATAATATTGGTCATAAAAGTTAAAATTAACGTGCAAAAATGCGACCCAAGAGAATTGGAAATCTTTATTTATGTTGACTTTAACATCCACATCGATCTCATTTATTTTGTGTTGTACATTACTTTTTGTGTGGGATACGCGTACGTTGAGGACAAATTTTAGGACGAAATCCGGCGCTCAGAATACGGGAAACGGCATTTCCGAGGTCAAAAATCCAAACGTTTCCTGTCAAAGCCTACTCCAGGATCCCCTTTTTGTGCAAGGTCGAGGGCCACGGTAAAATTTCAAAATGGATCCGGCCTTGGAGTGCCCTTCCTAGTCATGCATTATGCTAAGCCAATCAACTAGTTTTTTAAACGATGAATGTACATATTCTCCATTTAGAGTTCTGTAATAAGTTCTTTGTAGTTTTTCATGGCGATAGTACAATGCAAATTTTACTTGGCACAAGATTATTTCCTCATGTATAGTATTGTGCTTCATATTGTGCTTTCTAATCTTTTTATATTGGAAAGGAGTGCTTCAGCGCATTTTCCCTTTCAAAGGCTGTCGGGAAGTAGACAATTTGTTTTTACTGATGGGTACAATTATGAAATAAAACGTATATATAAAAGAACATATTTACTACCTAACCGTTAAACTCATAATAAAATATATACATTCCACACTACATGTGGTTATATACAATCTTTGTAATCAGTCTCAAAATTTATTCTTGAAATTGATTACAGAATATCTTTGCTTTACCTTTGGACGTTCGGCAGAAATTTCCTTGGAGTATAGTAGCTTATAGTTATTTGGTAGCAACATATTCAACAAACAGCTAATCTAAGGAGGAATTTAATGAAAAAATTCCAAGTTGTACCCATCTTTTAATATTATCATCCTTCGTTGCTCCATAGGTATCTGTTTTGGACCGAGCCTATTGTAAAGTTTGTCCGGGGAATAAGTTTGGCCCCTAAGTACGTAGTAATGGCAAATCGGACGTTCTCTGAACCTCACGCTATTACTGTTGATTGCACCAAGAACCGAGTTTACTGGCTCGAGAAAGAGGTTCGCTCCGGCGTTGACTATATTGTTTCAAGTCAATACAGTGGCTTAGATCAGAAAACTATTATACGTGGAATATTGAATGATCATTTATTGGGCGTGCTTGGTGATTCACTGTACTTCATGAACAATGATCTATTATATGTAAATGAAATGAATGTATCAAACGGAAATATATCTCGTAATATTCTGGTGGACAACAATTCAAACTACAATGACCTGGTCGTTGTACATAGATCTATACAGCCTCAAGAGCGAATGGGTGAGTTATAATAATCATATGACGCTGAGTATTCACTGATTGGCACCAAATTATGAAGGCTAAAATAGAATCTCAAACTCACGAGTAAATTAGCCAACCATATATTGCTTTATTTTGGTCACATGATAATACTGGAGTATATTGATCCAGTCCTAGCACTGGATCAAAATTAATTCACCTCACTTTAAGTAGTGATTTATTCGTATGGGATTTCATTTCAAATCCTCCAATTCAGATTAGACTACTGATTTCAAGTCCTTGCATTTTGATCCAGTCTCGGCTTCGCCTCGGACTTGATCAAATTGCGCGGACTTGAAATCTAGTCCAGTTTTCATAGTCGGATTTGAAATATTACTTAAAGTTTAGAGACACTTCGGTCCGTGATAATGATAATTCATGACTAAATTAGCCAACTATATTGCTTTATTTTCCTCACATGATAATACAGCATACCTGGTAAAGTATATTGATCCAGTCCTAGACTGATTGATCCAGTCCTAAATTAATTCACCTCACTTCAAGTAGTCATTTATTCGTATGAGATGTCATTTCAAATCCTCCAATTCCTTGCATTTTGATCCAGTCTTGGCTTCGCCTCGGACTTGATCAAATTGCGCGGACTTGAAATCTAGTCCAGTCTTCATAGTCGGATTTGAAATATTACTTAAAGTTTAGAGACAATCCTGTTAGAGCCACTTCGGTCAGTGATAATGTTATAAAGCAAATAAACCGAAAACGAGGCTGCGTGGACAAAAACTAAGACAGTGGACAAAGTCTAAATTCCAAGTTCACACACAAAAACGCATAAGTTGTAACAAACCTGCAGCAGACGTGTAGCAATGCTGTTCCAACAACTTGTCAACAGGATGTATTCACTGCTTGCTCCCAGCTTGTTGACAAGTTCCTACAAGATGTTCAACTTAACAGATTTGTTACAAGTTTTGCCAACGACTTGTTATCGTCGAGGTTATCGTCCTGCAACTCAACAATTTTTCACCAAGTTGTGAGTGACAACCTTGTAGCAACTTGATAAAATAACAGCATTGTTACAACTTGTTGCAAAGCTTGCTACAAGTCTGTTGCGAACACATCTTGTTGAGACATAGTATATTTCGAGTCAGGATTCGAGCCAGGAGCCCAGTCAGACTCAGTTCTGGACTCGAGGACTTGCTATTAATAATTTATTTCAAGAGACACTAAATTAATAAAGTTGCTACGATGTAGGAACAATTTGGTTGTAGTTTGAAAGACATACTAGAGTCAAGCATGAAAATTTGAAACATATAACGTGCAAACCCAATACCATAAACTCGACAAATTAAACCGTAGATATATTAGGTATAGGTAGTAAAAAGACAAGAAACTAAATAGCAAAATCTGTGATGTCACATTCAGGTAGCTACAGTGACATTCACAATATTAAATTCAAAAGAACAACTGTCATGATGTCATCTTTGAATTTTGTGAAATGACATGGAATATCGACAAATATGCTAGTTTCCATCTGTCAGAATAACATTACGTCATTGAACGGCTTGAGTCCTGTCGGCTCGAGTCCCTGTCACAGGAGATTCGCCCCCCCAGGAGATTCGCCCCCCTGGGGGGCGATATTCCTAGGATATTCGCCCCCCGGGGCGAATCTCCTGGGATTATCGCCCCCCATGGGAGCGAATCTCCTAGGAATATCGTCCCCCTTTAGGAATTTCGCCCCCCCCATATAATTTTTGAATTCAGTTTGATCTAAAAACAAAACGATTGCAAGTTGAAAAGATTTATTGTGTGATTTATTTATTTATTACAAGGAGACAAAATTACATAGACATTTTAGTCTTCTTAGCAGCTGGTGGTGTGCACAGTCTGCATAACCACTCATTTGAGGCACTTAGACTAGTGTCATATTCTACACATCTAAAGTGGAACCATCACAGAGATCGCATAAAATCATGTTGTCGTATTCTTCTGGCAGTTTACATTCACATAACATATTTTAATATAAAAACAATCGCTTGCAAATTTTATCAATACGAGTGTTAACAATAGCCGCCACAGTAATCACTTGCTAACAATAAACTATAGGATTAGTAAAAAATCTATGGAATGTGTTGGGAAGCGTATTGACTATTGTCCGTTGAATCGTCAACTTTCCGTGTCAGTGATGTAATCTTGATTCTTCACTTTAAGCTTCCGCAAAGAAAATTGCATTATATATGTGTTGTGGTTTATTCAAATAATTTCATGATACTTTGATTTTATTAGTGCATGCCTTTAACATTTGAGAATGTAACTCTGCAAAACTAAAAGCTTTCTTGTCTTTTTTGAAACGTATATTATTGGATTATTGCCTATTGGCAAGTTCTACCCTTCGCTTCTGAGATTTACAAACTATATTGAAATAATGCAAGTAAAAAATAGTGACAAACCATACATTTTCCGATAACGACAAAACGTGGATGCAAAACATATACCAATAATTACAATAACCACCACGGTGATTACTTTTTAACAATGAGTTTAAGGATTAACACTGAAAATGCAAAATATGCATGGTGTGCTGTGAAGCGTCATAAGTCCTATTGAGTATTGATCTACTGTAACTGTGTAAAGCCCTTTCGATACATGTAATTGTAAATTTTTATTGTTACATGCAGGGCTTGAAATAACGTTCATCGACAGTCGTGACTTTCCCTGCTTTTTGGAAACCGAAACCCTGCTTTTCCGCCGATCATAGGCAATTCCTTGCCGATCATTGATCGGTGATCGGTTGTTATTTCAAGCTCTGTCTTAACAATTTTGAATTGATACTGATTTCAAATTATTAAAGCTATGTAATAATTATCCCATGCAACTGTTAGGAAGGGCGAAATTTTGAACGGAGGACGAAAATCCTAAAGAAAAGGTGAAGTTTCTAAAGGGGGGCGAATTTCCTAAAGGGGGGCGAAATTCCTAGGATTTTCGCCACCCTGGGGGGCGATATTCCTAGTAATTTCGCCCCCCGGGGGGCAGAAATGTGGGGGGGGGGGCGAAAATCCTGGGACACCGGCTCAAATCCTAACTCGATATTTAGGTACCCTCCAATAGTATATCTCCAAGTGTGTCACTTTCATTTATATCGTAAATGACTCGAATTAACGATTAAGATTCAGTGCTACCAATATTTTTTTACTTCAACAACTTGCAATTACCTAATTAAAGTTATTCATCACTATAATATTAGCGGGCATATAGCTTTTTCCGGGTAAAGAATAAATTAATCAGCAGACTAAGATACATTGCAACCTGCTAAAGCCATTTTTACAGTAGATGGCTGCCGGTAGTTGTTTTACATTTGTAATGTAATAAGCAACCATAGAATTTCGAAATGTGGATGGGTTTTGCATGTAGAAGGAAATTTATAATTCATATTTTTTTAATTAAACTCAAACGAAAATGCAACTTTAGGCGCTCCGGCAGGAATTGAAGCTGCGACACAGGGATTCCGGTGCAATGCTTCGACCATTGAGCTACAGAATACAGTCGCTGAACATTAACCAGACGTTTTTGAATATATACTCGCAGCTGAACTGGTTAGGTCAATAATTTTCTATAAATTTTGAGAAAAAATTTCCAAAAAGCCCTCCAATAGTCACTTCTTTGAGCGACATGCCCACGCTCTGGACTGTAGGTTCCCCAACACGAGCGATGCAGCTCCCCACCACGCCCCTGTCAAAACCCCTGGTATCTAAAACTGTTTTGTTTCTTTTGGCGCTGGGGTCGCACTGAACTCGTAAAGGTCTAAAGATTTTTGTTTATTATATATTTGTACAAATATACAACCTTCTTTGCTACCAGTTACTTTGTTTGTATCCATATCAGTTTTCTGTTGATTAAGTCGATATTTATGTTTGATAAAAAATAATTTCCTGAGTACTGGGAATCGAACCTGTTGCAATATTATATCAGTAATAATAGTAAGATTATTGTACATGTATTGTATTATAACAATTACGGGCGAAATAACAAGAGAAAAATATATTTAGGCTCACTTCGCAAGTCAGTGATATTGGCAATTGAGAGAATCGAACTTCATAATAAGCTGGAAGAATGGTTGCCAAGACAAGGATATTGGAGAATATGTTGGAGAGGCAGCGAACATGGTTGGGCAACCTCGACATTTCATCGGAAATGCGACGGGAAAATACCCACTTTAACTATCGTTCAAGTTGTCAAGAATAATACGAATTTGGTCTTTGGTGGCTACGCCACCAGATCATGGGGTAGAGATCATGTTAATCAATGTAAGTTAAATAGTCATATATCCACTTAGAGCGTGTATAAAAAACGGCACAGTTCGAAAATGTTCGCTAAACTGCAATTTTTGCAAAATTTGTGAAAGCATTATGCAAGCATGGATATAGTTGGGTTCTGCTAGTATCTTTACGACTAAAATTATTTTGAAAGGTAAATTTTCAAGTGCAGGAGGGTTGTTTTTAAAAATCACTTTAAAATGGCTTGTGTATAATAATAGAAGGCTTAAAACGCAATTTGAATTCATAGGGCACAAACTTAGAAGGTGTTTTATGAACGATGAAAGTACCAGACAATTTGATGTACATTAAGTCCAACGCGCAACCTCTAAAACTTGAACTTTTTAGTCATAGTAGTCTTTCACCCTAAATTTGTTACGCGCACGATTTATTTTATGCATGACTAATTTTATGCATGATTTGATTTTTTCCCCTTTACAAAAATTATGCGTGAAAGGCTACTATATATGGCAGAAAAGTCCACGTTTTAGAGGTCGCGCGTTGGATTTAGTGTACATCAAATTATCTGATACTGCAATTGCGTTTTAAGCCTTCCATTCTCGTGCGCAAGCCATTTTTAAAGCGGCTTTTAAAAACAACTTCTGCATTTGAAAATGATATCAAAATAATTATAGTAGTAAATATACTAGCAGACCCCAAACTTTCCATGCTTGCAGTTGACACCCCCTGCAGTATTTAGAATCATATACTTATATATTATATTTGCTACTCTTATTCTTATTGACATATTGATTGTACGATTGTCGACGTCTCTTAATATTTAAATTGTTTGCAACTAAAAAAAACTTGTTGATCAGCTATTAAATGGTGTGTATGCCGCATATTTTCTCACTTTTATACCTGTAACATATTTAAATTCTCAGTCTGTCTTTTTTATTAAAAACAAAACTAGAAGGCGATTTGTTGTAAATAATAGGCATAGTACAAAACGTAGACTGGACTCAGTGGACTGCACAGTTGGACTGGACTGATTTTTACATTCTCTCTATTCTTGACTTACACGTCAGCCATGTCAGGTGGCATGGCACAAAATAATATTTGATCACAGAATAATATACCATGTCATGTCTATTTTGTGATTTTATCAATGAACATTGCCTGGTATGACCAGGAGATTGGTTGCAAGTCAAGAATATAACGTTACGTTTTGCACCTGAAGTACTTTTGATTTTCGGAAATTGAAATACTTTACTTTCGCAGATGACCTCACTTTATAAATGGAGTGAAATCTCTCAAAGCGAAAGAAAGCCTAGTAAGCAGAATAGAATACAATACCAAACAAACTACTTATCTGTCGTTGCTATGAGTAATCTGCACGCATACGTATTAAATTGAGAATACATAGGTGCTTGGAAATACCAGATTTATTTCTCGTGTTGAACATGATGATATCTCACGAGTGAGCGCAGCGAACGAGTAAGATATCATTTTCAATACGAGAAATAAATCTGGTATTTCCATGCACCCATGTATTTTTCTGTTTATTATATAAAGGACAGTCTTTGAAAAGCGATAATTTTTACAGAAAAGCAATAATTTTCACATGTAAGATTATCATTTCGATATTTCGATCTTTATATCCATAGGCGTAGGAAGATCGATAAATAAGCCCATATTCATATATTCATGTTCATAGACCGTAAAAACCCATCAATTTCAAAAGAAGTGAATAATGCAGAACACGAATATATAAATATGAGCTTCCCAGAATGTTGGGCAGATTAAGTCAGTCGGGTAATATTTGTTTTACAGTTGGGCAAGATTGGCTTATTATAAAAATAAAAGGAGAAATTCCCACAATATTGGGGACATATGCTATAGAATAATCGAAAATTTCGTCGTCCGCCTCCGCCCCCCCCCCCCTCAGTATAAAAGTTATAATAAATTATAATACATTCAAAAAAAATTTCGTCCCCAACCCCCCCCCCCCCACGTTTGGCAAATTTACACGGAAATTTTTTTGACAAGTCGGGCACAATTGGAAATATTTGGCAAATTTCGTTCTGCCCCTTATTTTTTGTCTTCCTATACGCCTATGGAAACAGTGCGTATATATTTATTATTGCACTATATTCCTATTTTCCACTGGTATTTAGTATAGAACGCCTTGTTTCCTTGAAATCTGACTTTCTTGAAGAATCTCGATTCCGCCCTTGGTTCTACCGTACCCCTTGTTGGTCAACGTCGTTTCATAATTGTAAAATAATCAAAGCCATTTACCCAAAATCTTTATTATGAAATATTTCATTATTCAGTTCTGTCGAGTAAGGCAATCATTCAGGTAATTCAGTTCTGCTTTGATTTGCTGCGCTGTTTCGTGCCCGTCCACTGCCGCCTGTGTCGCGCCATTAACCCGCGCGTCTGAGTTGGAACCTGGGGACGAGACTGGTATTCTCATGTATAGCTTAATTTTGAATAATGTAATTTATAAAAATTCTACAATATAAAACCGTGTAATTCAATCTTTGATTGCAAAACGTTTTCTAATAAATCTAAATCTATTTCATTATTCAGTTCTGTCAAGTGAGGTAATCATATCTAATCAGAGATTATTGTGTTTATTTTTGACAGACAAGTATACATCTGCTCCAGGATCATTTATATTTTCTGTTCGAAATAATGACGACCTTGCGCCTTTCAAGGCTCCGCTGAGAGATGAGAATGACGGGGCGGCAATTTACCGTGGTAGTGGTTGGGGACCAACATTTGGTATGAGTGACTTGGTCATTGACGACAATGCGAGATCAAACACCTGGTCCTTCACAAATTTTGGTCTCACCTACCAATCTCCACCGGGATACACTTACGACGAAACCAACACACGCTCGCTCCTTGCAGGGAGCATGAGATTCTCTGCGTCAGAAATCGAAACACTATATCTAAATTGAAACTGTGCTCATACTTACATTAAGGTAAATAATTTTGACAAACAAGTCACGTGATACCGTAAATGATCTAATAAACCCCTACTCTCCATAAGCGTACGGGAGGGAAAAAATAAAAGTAGGAAAGGCAGAAACACATTTGCCCGAATTTTTCGCATTTCGCCCGATTTATCAAAGACATTTTTCTGTATAGCGGGAAAATTTTTGAGATGTTAGATGCTTATAATATTTTGATACCGTACACAATTTCTTCCGACTTAAGTTCCCAGCCCCCCCCCCCCCGTACGCTTATGCTACTGGGTTATAAAATCCTCGTCTTAACGCCTTCGCTCAAATAAGTTAATCGAGGTCGATGATAAGCTGTGATAATAAGCGCCCAGCGCCTTTCTATTAAGGTGGTTCAATACAGTTTATTTGTAAAAAAATTAAAAATTCACGATTTAGATCAGTATTTTTGGCAAATTGTTACTTGTCGAAAAACAAAAACTATCTTACTGTAAGATCTCTTTGTTTTAAATTAAACAAGAAATATTCTTGTCCAAAAATACGGATTTAAATCACAAATTTTCCCAACAAAAACTTTATCGAGCCACCTTAAACTCCCCATACATATCTAATAAGGGCCACTTGTCTCTAGAGAGGCGTTTATTAGATTACATCGATTGTTTATTAGATTGCACACTTAAATTGCATGAAATTATGTGTGTTGGAGTATATACGTTTAATTTAACATTTGACTTTTATTTACGCTATTTGCAAACTGGCTGCAGGAACAAACTGCAGGAAAGTGCTGCTAAAGTAAAATAGACGATTATTATCTAAAAATTAAAGTACGAAAATATATTAAAAACCCCAGGCGTTTAAACATTGGATCATTTACGGTAACTATTTTTAGAAAAGTAGACTTCTACTTGCCGCATACACAGGCGCTATATGGTAGGGAACATGAAGTACTACAATAGCTGAGTGATTCGCGAACAGACTATTGGGAAGAGTACACTTCACTGTTCACCCATCGTAGTTCTTTATTTAACGCCTGGATACGAGGCCAGAGTTTCAGAGTCGTTATAGTCACAAACATAGAAATAAGTTAAATTATATTTCCTTCTTATAGAAGACTACTGGCTAGGCAAGCCAGATTTAGCGAAATCTCTGGTCAAGCTTAACGGAAAGCCCAGCCCGTTTAAGTGTTGCTTGAAAATGTAGCTTTATTTCTAAATTTAAATCCAAACTAAGCTTGAAGTCAATTTGCATCAAGTGAAGTTGGGTTGGGCTAAGATCACGCTGTTTTTTCTTTCAAGACTTTATGGACATTTTTGCGTTAAAATTTATTTGCAATATTTTATGTTTCACTAAAAAGTTATACTACACTTTGGAGGGTTTATTGCAGTGATTTACTGGATACCCCAAACGTTTCGGGTATTGTGTTTAAAACCATAATATATACTTCTTGTGTATGATATATTACACAGCCGATTGCAAGACGGACACCAGTCCATCGCAGTCTGAAGAGAAACTGGTGCTCATTAATAAATTGCGAGAGAGCACAGGAGAGCTTACTCTGTGACAGTAAAATAACACAAATCCCCATAGGCTATTTCAATCTGGTGTCTACACAAGCCCTATGGATGACTTTAATCTAATTTAATAGGCAACACGCTTATTTCTCGATCTACTTATGCCTCTGAAATGAAAATACAAACATCGCTCATTTCACCTGTGTGATGTTGTGGCGTTTTGGTCATATGCCAACCTCTTATCATGTAACTTCAATTTCTTAACTATATTGTCTTATTTGCACATTTTCATTATAATATTATCCAAGTTCATTTCTTAATTTATATAGATAATTTGTATACCATGCGTAGATTTTTAAAATCTGTTATTTCTAGGATTGCATGGCGATAAATATAATCAGGCGCGGATCCAGTGGTTTTGTTGACTGATGCACTAAACCTCGCATTTGTAGGGGGGTCCGGGGGAATCCTCCCCCGGGAAATTTTGAAATCTAGGACCTCGGAAATGCGATTTCCTGCGTTCTGAGGGAGCTTTTCTTCGAAGTTCACACATCAAAATCGAAACGTA